GATTGAAAAGATTCTGACGGGAAGCTGTCTTTGCACGGGCATGCCCAGTATTAAGGAGAGGGGGAGGGGAACGAAGATCTCCTTACTTTTTCGGGTAATACATGTAAAATACTGACCGTGGGATCACGAGTACTGCACGGCAGGATTTGGGTCAACTGCCCCACAAACTCGTTTCTATCCTATCCAGTTGCTAGTGGGACCATGCCCAAACATTACGATTGCATGTAGATCCTTAAATCTTAAAAATGCTTATCTTCAACTTCAGCACCATCCATTGGCAGCTTCCCATATAAAGATCTCCTATTACCCACCACCTATCTCAGATTTTGCCTGCGTGCCATGCCCAGCAACTGCATAATTGGCTTCATTCAAATGCAGAGCTTATGTGTCTTGGTAATGAAGTCCTAAAGAAGAAGAAGACGATGACGACGACGATGACGATGACGGCGACGACGAAGACGATGACGACGACGACGACGACGACGACGAAGAAGAAGAAGAAGAAGAAGAAAAGAAGAAGAAGAAGAAGAAGAAGAAGAAGAAGAAGAAAGAAGAAAGAAGAAGAAGATGCAAATGGTAAAGAATTGATTCCTGGGCATTGATTTGCTCATAGCTAGATTCGAAAAATTATCAAAAGAGCCGACACATAACAGAAGACAAGGCACAAAGTGCCATGAACGTTAAGTGCAGACTCTGAGCTGCAGATGACCTGACATGCAAGTTTCAGCTTCCTCACCAGGAGTGACAATCATCAAGGATCCTTGGTCCTCAGGACTACTGTCCAACCTTGATTGCATCTCCTCAAATTCATTCCCGGCATTCGGGCTTTCGTGCTGTACACAATCTAGTTGCATCCCCCGTGAAACCACCCTGGCCTGCAGCCACCGCACTGTGGTTTGCACATTCCCACACAGCACTTCCCTCTTCCGCAATCACTATGGGCGCAGCAATTCTGGCGACACAAACCACCGCAGCACTTGTTGAGGCCGACTGCGCAGCAATCGTTGTCTATGCAGCAGTCCTTACACACTCCACCGCAGCACTTCTTCGATTTTGGGCAATGACTGTCCGAGCAGCAAGCCTTGCATTCTGTGCCGCAGCATTGAGTGCCGGCTGGGCATTTCCTACAGTTGCAGCAGCCTGGGGTTCCAGGACAACAGTCTCCATCTTTGCACTGTCCGTTGCAGCAGACCTTCCCTGCTCCGCAGTCCCCATCACMGCAGCACGCCTTGCACACTCCATTGCAGCACTTGGTACCAGGCGGGCATYTCTTGCCGTTGCAGCAGCCCGGGGTTCCCGGACAGCATTGTCCATTGGAGCACTGTCCATTGCAGCAGACCTTCCCCGCTCCGCAGTGCCCATCGTTGCAGCATGCCTTGCACACTCCATTGCAGCATTGGGTGCCGTGGGGGCATTTCTTGCCGTTGCAGCAGCCCGGGGTTC